GTGGGTTCAACCCAGCTCGGGCCAGCTAAACAACAATGAAAACTGCAACAGAAAAATAGCCAGGCATTGCGGCATGTGCCTGTAGTCCCAGCTACTTGGGAGGCTGAGGCAAGAGAATGGCTTAAGCCCAGGAGTCTGAGGTTGCTGTGAGCTGTGACGCCAAGGCAACATAGTGAGACTCTGTCTCAAAATAAATAAATAAATAAAATACATAAATATTTTATATACACACACATATATAAATACAAATTTGCTTCCTCTTTTCCAGAATAATCTTGGGCAAACGCTCCACGTTAGCCAAATAATGGATTATTAGAGGATCCAAACTAATTTTAACTTAGCCTATAATCCTAGCACTCTGGGAGGCCAATGAAGGCAGATCATTTGAGCTCAGGAGTAACAACAGACCAGCCTAAACAAAAGCGAGACCCTGCCTCTCAAAATAGCTGGGCATTGGCGTTACCCATAGCTCAGTGGGTAGGGCGCTGGCCACATACACTGAGGTTGGCGGGCTCAAACCCGGTCCAGGTCAGCTAAAAAACAACAATGACAACTGCAACAACAACAACAACAACAAAAAAAAATAGCTGGGCATTGTGGCCAGTGCTAGTAGTCCCAGCTACTCAGGAGGCTAAAGCAGGAGGATTACTTGAACTCAGGAGTGTAAAGTTGCTATGAGCTAGGCTGATGCCATGGCACTCTATCCTGGGCAAAAGAGTGAGACTCTTGTCTCAAAAAAATAAATAAAAAATAAAGACATTCCCTCATGCTCTTTCTTTCCAACATGAGTCCGGCAGAATGGCTCCCACAAAGAAGAGTGGCAAAAGAAGGGTCATTCTGCCATGAATGAAGCAGTGACTTGAGAATACACCATCAACATTCACAAGCACATCCATGGAGTGCGCTTCAAGAAGCCTGCCCCTCTGGCATTCAAAGAGTCTGGAAATTTGCCATGAAATAATAGAAACTCCAGATGTGCGAATTGATACCAGGCTCAACAAAGCTGTCCGGGCCAAAGGCATAAAGAATATCCCATACTGTATCCATGTGTGGTTGTCCAGAAAATGTAATTATGAAGACTGACCAAACAAGTTCTATACTTCGGTTATCTATGTACCTGTTACCACTTTCAAAAATTGACAGTCAACATGGATGAGAACTAACTGGAGATTGTCAGCTATATCAAATAAAGTTATAAAACAATAAATAAATGTAAATCTTTAGAATTAGAAAATTATGCCATTGGTTTTTCAGAGCCAAAAAACAACAGCATCTATTTATTAGGCATGCCACCACACAGGAGGCAAATGGCTAAGAATTTTACATACTGCTCCCTCAATCCTCACAGCAGTAAGGAAGCTATTATCCCTTTTTAATCAGTTAAGAAAACCTGGATTCGGGCTCAGTGCCCATAGCTCAGTGAGCAGGGCGCCAACCACATATACCAAAGGTGGCAGGTTTGAGCCCAGTTCAGGCCTGCTAAACAACAATGACAACTGCAACCAAAAAAAAAAAAAAAAAAAAAAGTTGACCAGGCATTGTGTGGTCCCAGCTACTCAAGGCTGAAGCAAGAGAATCACTTGAGCCCAAGAGTTTGAGGTTGTTGTGAGCTGTGATGCCACAGCACTCTACCAAGGGCAACACAGTGAGACTCTGTCTCAAAAAAAAGAAAAGAAAACCTGGATTCAGAGCCTGCATTCTTTCTATCCCACCACATTTCCTCCAAAGTAAAGTGGTTACTGGAAGGAACACAGTAACACCAGGAGGCAAAAAACCTGGCTTAGTTTATCACTTTCTGATAAACTACAGGCAAATCAATTAGCCTCTCTGAGTACCAGTTTTCTCACAGGTAAGTAGAGATAAGACTATCTTCCAATCTTACAGAGTTGCAGCAAGAAGCAAAGTAAATCATGTACAGGAAAACATATAAAGTGCATACTATCTACTGTAAGCTATAAAAAAAAAATCACTTGGCGAGACATAAAATCTTTGGTAAATATTCTGTTTTATTCTCAAATTTTTAAAATGGTATTTTTACACAATTATTTAACAAAAGAATAAATGAAGCAGATTAGGGTACAGCAACCCAGGGAAAACATTTTAATCACCAACATCCACATAGAAAAACTATACCATCCCACCCCTATCCCCAAAGAAACCTGCCTCAAAACCTTCAGTTTGGTAAATGGGGTCTTCAGCAAACAAGAGCTAAGCCTCTTCTAGATCAGTCTCATAAAATACAACAGAAGAAAAACAGTTGAGACTGAAAGCAATTTCTCTGTGCTAGTATACAAGACACAGTTGGGATTCAGTGACAATGACCTTCTAAGTCACTACTTACTGATCTTTGAGATCGGTAAACTGTTTTTCAAGATTGGACATTTCATCTAAACATTCCATTCTTCTTCTTTCACAATCTTCATCATCCATTTCTGTTAACAAAAAGGCAAAGATAAAATTAATTTTGTTTCAAATATATCTGAATGTTAATTCTAACTGAAAAAAAATGAAAATGTGAATTTAAATGTACAAGGCCTATATTAAGCCTTAAAGAGAAAATAAATATTTACCCAAAATAATTTTCTACTCTAGAATTAATCTAAAATACAGATGACAGTTAAAACCAAAGAGTTCTTTTGATCCTCTTGACCCATTTTCAAATCATTTTTAAAAACTGACTTTAACCTATGACTATAATTAGCCAACTTTTTGTTTTCCACCAACTCACCAGAATTTAGTGCCAAAATAATTGTATCCTTTGAAGTTTAATATTGCTAAAAACACTTTTGGAATTCTGAAAGCAGAATTCGGGTTTCAGAATTCCTCACATGACTGATATGCCAGTCAAATAAAAAAGTAAACTCATGTCAATTACTTTTATCACAAAAAATCTTGGGTCTGCCACTCATATCCTCCTATTGCTCCCTCTCCCCAAATTACTGTCATTCAGTGGGAAAGAGGCAAATGAGGAGAAAAAACAAGCAAACTTTTTAAGGAATGCAACTCTTAATTACCAGGTCTGTCCTATATTCCACATCTTCTATTTTTACATCACATATATTCAACACATCAAAGTAACTGAAGCACAAAATGATCTGCATCTTGATCTTCATCAAATAAAGGTCAAACTATGAGAAAGAGTTAAATTATGTTTGATTATTTTCATATAGTAAGGAATGAATATATGATTCATTTATTTTCTTTTAGCTTTCTAAAACAGACTTAAAATATTTCTGGCTCTTGACAACTTACTTCTTAGCTACTTAAATCTTGGTCCCTCAAGCTAATTCACTCCCCCCACCTTCTCTGGACGGTAGAAATTTTTCTGTAGTCTTAGGATCTGCTCAGTATCAAGGTTCGGGAAGAATAAAACTGTGGAAGTTTGACGTGCAAGACATATGGTAGAATAGAAATGATTTTACAAGGAGCAAAATGTATTCTAAAAATTTCTTTGTACTTAAAAAATGTGACTTGAAGTTCAAATAATTATTATATTCTTCACATTAAGTTGTCCAATATTTTCTGGAATGAAATAAAAACAAATTAAAAATCACAAGTCAACATAAATATTACAGGGGGAAAATTTTAACAAATAGATATAATTTTGAGATCCTAGCTCCCATCAAAAAACAACACTTGAAGATGAAATACTTTACAGATTAAGAGATATATTCACATGCAGTCTAGATGTTCTTTTTGTTCTATGTTCCCTCTCCACTTTTGAAATCTTATCTACTTTTCTGGCTAGATTGATGAGTTCCAAATTCTTCTTCCCATCCCAGACAGGTTCCATTGCCACATTTTCATCTGTCGATTGGGCATTCTTACTTAAATATACCACCATCACCTCAAAACCAACAGGCCTAAAATACCTTCTACTTTCAACTCAAGTATTTTACTTTTTTATTTCTGTTGATGTTACCATTTTCCTTGTATTTTCTCTTACCTTCACTCCTAAACTCGTATTCATCAATCCTGCTTTGTGCTTTCTTTGAAACCTTTTCACATCTATACCTTTATTTTCCTTTCCTAGCTCAAGTCCTCTCCCACCCAAACTGGTTTTCTCCTTTGAATAAGGCTTAAGCTGTGCCCTTTGCACTTTTTCTTACATTCCTCCCCCTACAGAAACACCGACAACCCCAGTCCAAATTCTACTCATTCTTCAAGATAATTAAGGTAATCACAACTGCTTCAACTAGCCTTTGCTGACCACTCAGTTCTGAAAAGATTTCCTCTCCTCTGAATTCCTCCTACAGCATTGTTTAGTTTAGCATTCATTTAGCAATTTAATCAAGTGGTGACTTATGACAGTTCTTCAACTGAGAGCAAATACTATTTATTTATACCTCATACTGAGTAGTGCCCAGTGTAGCATAAAGAAGTCACTCATAAATATTTATTTTTGGATGGCTGATTTATTGATTGAAATTACATACTTGAATGGACATTTGCTTTGACAGGGAAACACAAAAAGAAGATACCAGGCTATCATCAACCTGTCATCAATGCTTCCTTTACATGGCCAAAATCAGGCCAAAGCAAATAAGTTTCATTCCCATCATACCACTAGAAGGTAATCACAAATTCCATTCCCTTTTTGAACAATCATTCCTAAAAGTCTGCAAAATCTGTGGCATTAATCTGCCACCCCCACCCAAAAAAGTAAACAATCTGAAACACCCGCAAAGATCATAGGGAAGAAAAGACAGGAGAATTTCAACACTGCCAAAGGGAGCCAATTTATAAGAAAATGAAGACCCTGATCCGGCGCGGTGGCTCACGCCTGTAACCCTAGCACTTGGGAAGCCGAGGCGGGTGGATTGCCCTGAGTTCACGGGTTCCAGGACAGCCTGAGCAAGAGTGAGACTCCCGTCTCAAAAATATAGCCAAGCGTTGTGGTGGGCGCCTGTAGTCCCAGCTACTCCGGAGGCTGAGGCAAAAGGATCGCTTAAGCCCGAGAGTTTGAGGTTGCTGTGTGCTGTAATACCACGGCACTCTACCAAGGGAGACAAAGTTAGACTCTGTCTCCTAAAAAAAAAAAAAAAAAGCATATGAAGACCCTGATGTTGGTACCTTCCTCCCCGTTTTGAAAACTTCGGGGACAGCTCCGAAGTCAGCCCCCGAAAGAGCACTGATGTAAAGTGCCGACTGACAAGCAGACTTGAAAGCCGAGGTTAATTAGTTCTAAGCCACCAAGGATCAATACGAACCTACCCTGGGCCCGGACAACACACCCACGCTAAGGTGAGGGTTACAAGGTGAAAATAAGGAAAAGAGGTCGGTGGTCTAGGGAAAGGAGGCATTTCCTAGATCTCCTAGACAAGCGGAGGGGCGTTCCCCGCCTGAGTCAGTATTCCCCGGGCACTGCGGGTAGGTCCCAAAGGCGTGTCCCCCCGGGAGCAGGATCGTGCCGCGTCCCGGAGCCCGGCGAGCTGAGGCCCGCGCCCGCCCCGCTGCGCCGACCCGGACCGGTCTGGAGCCAGGCAGCGCCGCGCGACCGGTGCGGGTGCTGCGGAGGGCCGGGAGCCAGTCTCCGCCCCCTCCCTCTTTCCCCGCCCCGCTCTCCCAGCAGGACGCGGCTGCCTGGGGAGCGGAGAGCGGCCTGTCGCGCACCCGGCGCGGGGACTCAGGGTCCCAGCCCCTCTGGGTCGCGCACCTGAGCTATCTCCATCCTCCGAGACCGAGGAGCTCTCTGTGTCCTCGTCCTCAGAGCTGCTCCCCTCGTTTTCGGCGTAGTCCACCTCCATCTCATCGTGATGGTTGGTCTCCTTCTTATCCCCTCGGGAATGGACTGGCATTTTCCAGCCGCGCCGTCGCTTCCCACTCCCGGCGCCCAGCCCGGCCACCGCCGCTTCAATGAAGGGCGCGCGGAACGCCCCGACCCACCCGGCGGCCCAGCTCGTTCACCCCCTTGGCTCCTCCCCGCCCCCCGGCCCGGGCCTCACAACCTAACCCGCAGGATCTAAGCTGGGAGCTCTACCATTGGCGGAGGCCGTCCACCGAGCATGGGGGCGGGGCTTGCCCTGCTCTGCCTCGGTTGGTTGCCGGTAACGACGGCGCGGCCTTCCGGTGTATGCCGGGACTTGTAGTCCTTGGTGTGTAGAGCTGCGGAGGGGGCTGCCGGATTCCACGCTTCAGCAGCCTTGATCACTTCTTCCTTCTGGACTTCAAGTCCCACAAGGCAAGAAACCTAACACACTTGATCGCAGTTTATAAAATAAACAGAAACAGATTGTGCGAATTTGGTCTGTATTTATCATTTTCCCGCCAAGCGATTGTTTGACCCCCCTGGCTATCCAAGATGTTACTGTCAGAGATGAAAATGTCTTTTGCCTGAAAGGGTCTTTGTCGGTTTTTTGAAGCCTGCGGAACTGGAAAGCTGTCTCTTTTTTACATAAGTGCCTTCATTACCACTAATAAACTATGATACTGAATTATTAACTGTAGACGATAACTTGCACTTTCTATGTTGCACGAAAATTTTAAATTGTTCTTGAAACTTTTATAATAAAGAATATAGAAGAGAAGAAAGTTATATCTTGTCATTTTAACCTATTTGTAAATAGTATTTGTTGCATTTTTTATTAAAATTGAATGTAGCTGGAATGACATTGGTCTTGACTTATAATTTCAATTTTCAGTGAAAAATACATACTTAATGAGATGTATTTCCTCAAAGATGGGGTACATAGACAAGAAAGTATAATAATTGAAATAGTTTATATTAATTGACTACTTATACTCTGTGTATTAAGTATCTCGATAAGCTCTTTTTTTTTTTTTTTTTTTTGAGACAGCGCCTCAAGCTGTCCCCTTGGGTAGAGTGCTGTGGCATCACAGATCACAGCAACCTCCAACTCCTGGGCTCAAGCGATTCTCCTGCCTCCGCCTCCCAAGTAGCTGGGACCACAGGCACCTGCCACAACACCCAGCTGTTTTTTGGTTGTGGCATCATTGTTGTTTGGCGGCCCAGGCTAGATTTGAACCTGCCACCTTAGGTGTATGTGGCTGGTGCCTTAGCTACTTGAGCCACAGGCACCAAGCCTCTTGATAAGCTCTTTAAGTGGGTTATATTGACTTTAATTTTCAGTTTAATAGCCCTTAGGTAGATACCATTATTGTATCCAATTTACAGTTAAGGAAACTTCATCTGCAGGCAAATCTTAAAACCATATATTTTTTAAGTTATTTTACCCATTTATACACACGTGGCTTCTTGAAGTGGCTATTTGCTATTGAAAGATAGTTCATAGACTATTGCAGACTGTACAGCATTGCTTTTTCAAACCGGAAATCCAAAGACATTTGATGGAGGATGATAAGTGTATACAGGCATAACCGCATTAAAGTTGGATTTTTAATTTAATAACAGAAAACATTTCAAGAGCTGTCCATCTCCTAGAGTAAAACCCAAATTGGGCAGAATGTGGAGGCTCATGCTTTATCCTAGGAATTGTATGGACAAGGCAGGAGGATCACTTGAGCCCAGAAGTCAGAAGTTGGAGAACAACCTGTGCCTACAAAAAAATAAAATAAAAATTAACCAGGCATGGTCTTGCTTCTTGGGAGGGTGAGGTGGGAGGATCATCTGAGTCCAGGAATTCAAGGCTGCAGTGAGCTATGATCATGCCACTGCACTGTAGCCTGGGAAACAGAGAAAGACCCCATCTCAAAGAAATAAAATTAAGGAACTTTATTTAGTGTCAGCCTACTTTTCCCCTTCTCACTATACAGTATTCTCCAAAACTGAACTCTGTTATAGTTGCTAAACACACAAGCTGTTTCTCATTTCAGTGTCTTTGCACATTCTATTCCCTTTGCAACCCCCTTCCTCTCTTTTTCTTTTTCAGGTCCACTTTGTGACAATACACATTACCACCAAAACCTCCACCATTCAGTACTTTGCAACCTTGTACTTGTTTCTATACCAATGTATTGTAAATTGTTTGCCAATGCATCTCACCTATTGGATTATGGGTTCCTTGAGAGCTGATGGCTTTAGTCTGAGACTCATATTTATTTAAAGGCATGCAGTAATCAGCCAGCTAAAGTTAAAAGATGGAAATTTTATATGAGTGGTATGGACTAAGGGAGGCAGCTGCTTTCAGTTCCAGCCAAATATTACTACCTGAGAATTCTGACCTAAAGATGTCTGAACCTTCCAATTTTTAAGAGACACTGGAAATTTGGATCTCTATGTGAAATACCCTGACTTGTAAACATCATCTCAAGTAGTGTTTTTTGTTTTGTTTTGTGTTTCTTTGTTTTTTCCGGTGCATTTTTTGGCCGTGGGCTGGGTTTGAACCCGCCACCTCCGGCATATGGGGCCAGCGCCCTACTCCTTTGAGCCACGGGCACCGCCCCTGTTTTGTGTGTCTTAAACTTCAGACCAAACAAAAACAGCTGTGAGTAAAAATCTGGCCTCTGTTAATGTTTGTTCTATCAGCAGCTAGCAGTGTGTGTGCTAGACAGTAACAATAGCTTAGATTTTTGGTCCCTTTATGTACCAAGCACTGTTAAGTGCTTTCAGTGTGTTAATTCATTTAATCCTCATAAATAAGCCTATGAGGTAGATAATATTATGCCCTCCATTTTATAGATAAGAAAACTGAGGCACAGAGCCAAGGTCACACAGCTAATAGTAGCAGAGCTAAGATTTGAACTTGAGTTTTCTGACATCAGAGCCTGCACACAAACACTGGCATACAGTGACCCTCTAGCCAGTGATTTCTGTTTCTGCTGTTCCAAGAACAGAAGGCAACTGGAGAAGAGGAATGGGTTCTTACGTATTCAGATCTTAAAATCTGTCAAACCGCATAATCTCTGGTCAATTTTAACATAGAAGTTTGCATTACATTATCTTTGAGTTCTCTTCCAGCTCTAAATTCCAGTCATTAAATTTGTGTTTAAGGTAGACAAACTAACAGGAAGTTATACAGTTAGAATAGCATGATGGTATTTTGCCTAAGGTAAGAGTTTCTCTTGCCTCTCCCCAAACTGATTTTAGAAAAGATGTATAAGTGGTTCATGCCTGTGATCCTAGCACTCTGGGAGGCCAACATGGGAGGATCACTTGAGCTCCGGAGTTTGAGACTTGCCTGAGCAAGAACTAGACCAGTAAGACCCTATCTCTACTAATAATAGAAAAATTAGCCAGCCATTATGGTGAATGCCTGTAGTCCCAGCTATTTGGGAAGCTGAAGCAGGAGGATCACTTGAGCTCAAGAGTTTGAGGTTGCAGTGAGCTATGATGATGCCACTGCACTCTAGCCAGGGAAACAGAAGAAGACTCTGTCTCAAAAAAAAAAAAAAACGTTTAGGAAATGCAAGAGCAACCATAAGGGAGTTAAGTTAATAGGCCTAGACAAGAATATTGTAAATGTAGAAAATATAAATTAATATAAAGAAAACTGTAAAGCAAAATGAAGCTTCCTCAGTCAAAGCAATTAAAGAGGTAGTTATGATGCCTTGTATTTATGTAATACTTTATATTTTACACATATAAACATTAGATAAATCTCACTTCTTATCAATCCATTCATCAATCCATTATTGAGACCTCTCTGAAATTCATGGTCAGTCATTAACAAAATCTCTTTTCTTTTTTCCTCCTCTTCCCCCTCACTCTTCTCTATTCTCTCTCTTCTCTTCCCCACTCTCTCCTTATCTCTCTTCCCTCTTTTCTCTTCTCTTTTCTCTCTTCCTCGGTGCTGCTCTGCAGCCTCCCTCACCTCACCAATAAAGACCTTTCCTAAAAAAAAAAATGTTTTTTTGGGGGGGGAGTGGACAGAGCCTCAAGCTGTCCCCCTAGGTAGAGTGCTATAGCTTCACAGCTCACAGCAACCTCCAACTCCTGGGCTCAAGCGATCCTCCTGCCTCCTCCTCCCAAGTAGTTGGAACTACAGGCACCTGTAACAATGCCCAGTGATTTTCCTTTTTTTTTTTTTTTTGGTTGCAATTGCTGTTTGGCACCCCAGGCTGGATTGGAACCCACCAACACAGGTGTATGTGGCTGGCCTTAACCACTTGAGCCACAGGCACCAAGCCAGCAAAACCTTTTTTTTTTTTTATTATTTTTTTAAATTTCAGGTTAATATGAGGGTACAAAGGATCAGGTTACAATGTTTGTGTTTGCTAGGCAAGGTCCTTATTGTAGTTGTGTCCCCTACCCAGAAGGTGTGCCATACACCCTTACATCATGCCTATAAATTGGAAGCACACCAATCCTCCTCCCTCCTCCTCTCTCTTTCTTCCCTCTCCCCACCTCCTCCCTCCCTTCAAGTTGAATTAATTTGAATTTTTCTCTTGTGTGGGCATGAATTAGTTCATCTACTGGCTTCATATTAATATTGAGTACATCAGATACTTGCTTTTCCATTTTTGTGATACTTCACTAAAAAGAATGTGTTTCAACTCTATCCAGGTAAATACAAAAGAAGTAAAGTCTCCATCTTTTTATGAGTGAATAGTATTCCACAGTATGCATGTACCACAGTTTATTAATCCATTCATGGGTTGATGGGCATTTGAAGCGATTATAAATTGAGCTGCAATAAACAATCTAGTGCATATTTCCTTATGATAAAATGATTTTTTTTCTTCTAGGTAGATGCCTATTAATGGGATTTCAGGATCAAATGGGAGGCCTATGTTGAGTTCTTTGAGGATTCTCCATACTTCTTCCCAATGAGGCTGTATTAGTTTGCAATCCCACCAACAGTGTAAAAGTATTCCCCGTAAGCAAAATCTCTTATAAAGGAAACGTGGCTGTCCCTTAGGGTCCTGCTTCTTTTGTACCCTTTCTCCTACTAAGCCTTGTCATGGAGTAAGTGTGTGCCTTGTCCTCCTTGTTCTTTCCAGATGATCTCCCTCCTCCCCTCCTAAAACCTCCAACTTTGTCATCAAGTTATTTAAGTACCACAGCTTCTGCTGTGATTGTCATCTACATGCCCCCAGGTTCACTCCCCCTTATTTTTTGAAGATTTTAGCTCCTGGCTC